ATCAATAATAATTCTAGGATGCTATTGTTGATATCTTAAAAAATTATTGTGCACATAATTTTTTTTTATATATTTATAATGAAAAATACATTTGTAAAAAATGCTTGAATAAGATCCCTTAAATAGAAAACTAGATTTTAATCCTTAAATGAGATGAAGTTTAGAAAAATGTCTTATACAAGATTAAAAATTGATTTTAGTCTCTAGACTCTATTTAATGCCGGCATATTAGATATCTTTTTTTATTTATTTATAATTTCTTTTATTAAGGAGCGGGTGACGCAAATGCTTAATGGGTGGAAGAGTAAGCTTTTTGAGTAGTGCCGGAAGGGAGCTTCTTATCAAGGTTGTTGCTCAGGCCCTTCCTTCTTATGCGATGAATTGTTTTTTACTCCCGAAGACGTTCTGTGATGAGTTACATCAACTCATGTCGCGGTTTTGGTGGGGGAATGGCTCAGAGGATCGGAAAATCCATTGGTGGTCTTGGGACAAGATGTGTAAACCCAAAGCTGAAGGTGGGTTAGGGTTTCGGGATCTATATGCTTTTAACATGGCAGTGTTGGCTAAGCAAGGGTGATGGGTGTTCCATCAACCCACGTCTTTGGTGGCGCGAGTTCTCAAGGCTCGGTACTTCCCCAATTCTTCCTTTTGGGATGCGGAAGCTACTGGATCTGCTTCGTTTTGTTGACAAAGTATTATGAAGGCAAGAGAGGTTCTGGTTCGTGGATCGAGGTGGGTGGTGGGAGATGGGCAGACAGTTAAGGTGTGGTTGGATAGGTGGTTGCCTTGGCCTAGTACTTTCAAGGTTATTTCTGCGCCTCCACCTGGAAGACTTCAAATGAAGGTTGAGGAACTCATTGATACTTCTACACGGGTTTGGCGTACCGATTTGTTATCGGAATTTTTTGGCCTGGAGGAAGTAGCTTTGATTCTATCTCTGCCTATTAGTTTTCGTGCCCCGGGGGATAGATTGGTGTGGCATTATGATGAGCGGGGTTTGTATTCAGTGAAGAGTGGGTATAAGGTAGCTCGTCAATGGCTTCAATCGGTGAATAGTAGTGCGTCTTCTTCTACTAATGGCAGTGCTTATGAGAAGCTTTGGAAGCATCTTTGGAAGGCTCATATCCCTCCTAAAGTTAAGAATTTCACCTGGAAGGTATGCCATGATATACTCCCGACCAAAGTCAATCTCCGAAGGAAAGGGGTCGGGGTACAGATGGAGTGTGGGGTGTGTCAAGGGGAGGAGGAAACGGCTGCACATGTGCTGTTGTCATGTCCTTTTGCTAGAGCAGTGTGGTTTATTTCTCCATCTGGCCTTCGGTCGGTGGGGACTATGCGTATATAGCTTAAGGATTGGTTACTTTCGGTGTTGGAAATGAAAAAGGTGGATTTTGAGTTGGCGTGTATGATTATGTGGGGCATTTGGAAAGAAAGGAATTCATGGGTATGGAAGGGTTTCAAAGTTTTACCTATGGTCGTGTGGCAGAAGGTCTCTGCATGACTATCGGCTTTCCAGGCTGCAAATTGTGAGTCTACCAGGGTGGTGATGCAGACTCCTCTGCGATGGTCTCCTCCTAGTCAAGGATGGGTCAAGCTTAATACGGATGGAGCGGTGATGAGTCATACAAATATGGGGGGGGGGGGGGGCGTGGGTGTGGTATTGCGAGACTGGAGGGGTGGTTTTTTGGCGGCTGGAGCGCACCAGTTTTCAGGGATCACTTCCGTGGCGTTGTTGGAGATGTTAGCGGTTCGATATATGGTCTGCAGGTAGCTCAAACACAAGGTTTTCAGAGGTAGGTATGATTGCGGGGGATGTGTTGCAATTGGCGTCCACCTTTTCTCGGGTTATTTTCATTCATGCTTCCAGGTTATGTAATGGCGTTGCCCATCGCCTTGCTAAGTTTGCTTTGTCTAGTAGCAATAATCTAGTTTGGATTGAGGAGCCTCCTACGCTTATTCAGGAGCTCCTCCTCCAAGACATATGTAGCTCTTTTTGAGTTTAGTTATCAATTCATCGCTTCCTTTCAAAAATAAAAAATAAAAATAAAAATAAAATTTATGGAGTTCATAAATTAAATTTTATGAAAATTTAATAAATTTTAATTCTCATTATGGTAAGTATCTTATATAAGAAAATATTTTCGTAAAGATTTTTCGGTATTCATGTTTTTGCATATTTTTTTATGTGCCACTAATTTATTACAATATATTTAGGTACGAACATTTCGGTACATTAGGTTAGTATAATATGTTTAGGTACGGACATTTCGGTATACTAGTTTATTATAATATATTTAAGTACCAACATTTCGGCACGCTAATTTAATATCATATATTTAGGTACGGAATTTTTCGGTACACTTATGTTTTTGCATATTTTCTTATGTGCCACTAATTCACTACAGACATTTCGGTATACTAATTTAGTAAAATATATTATGATACGGACGTTTAGGTACACTAATTAGAAGAAGTAAAATAAATATAATGAATTAAAATGTGTATGATAATAAATAATTTTAATTTTAATATAATGAAATTAGATAAGATATCTATTAAATATTAAAACAAAAATATAATATAAATTTGAATTAAGTACACATTAGAGGACTAAAATCAATATCCAATTTAACATCAGATTTTTATTAAATTTTAATCTTCTTCAAAAGTTAAAGTTCAAAAATTCCTTTTTAAAATATCAATAATATCACCCCTAATATTAAAATCACTCACTATTTACTCAGATTTTAGGTACAAAATGATGTGATTATTTCGTACTTTCGAACATACAAGGTCCAAACGAGTCACTGTGAAATTGTTGTAATCTAAAATGTTGGTACAAAGTAGCAGTACCCAAATTGACCAATCATTGGATTTTATTTTATTTTATTTTTTACAATATTATATTTTACCTTTTCAATTATCACATTTTTGTCCCTTCTGGATAGATTAAAATTTAGGTATTAAGTTTGTTCTTTTGTTGAGGAGTCATCACCGACTCCTTTGCCCTATTATTTTTTATCAAGGAAAAAGAACTAGCCATTTCTAAATAGTAACTCAACTTTTTATAAACTTTTGCATAGTTTAGTCTCTTACCGACTTGAGGCTTTGGCCTCATATTTTCATATGACCCTTTACGTGTGGTCATTTTCAAGTCAGACATATGGACAACACAAATAGGATGACGTGGAGCACGTGTGGCTGTTGGGCACGTGGGCGAACTTGCTTTGATATATATACCATGAAGAAACTTTATTTTTCATCATAAAATCAATTGACAATACGGGTAGCAGCCTAACCTCTAGTACACCCTTGCATGGTTTGATTTATCACCGATGTAGAACTTTGTCCTCACATTACATATATATTGGAGAACTATCGAAAGAAAAACTCAAAATTCATTGTGCAATTAACAGTGAGAATACATCCTGAACAACATATATTGGGGAACTATCGACAGAAAAACTCAAAATTCATTGTGTAATTACCAGTGAGAATACATCCTGAACAACATGATTGTCAAAAGTTATACAAAGAAACTGATATCACAGTTAGGTTGCTCACAAGTCACAATACCTTAAGGCGTGCGCTAAAGAGAATTGGCAAGTTGTGTAGTAAATTTTTCATACGTATCGAGTTGGATAAATTTAGAATAAGATCTCCATTTGCACACCCATTTCTCCTTTTACACATTCTGAGTTAATTTAATTTTTTGAATTCTCTTTTAATTCAATCAATATGAGTGACATAAATAAACAAATGTGAGAAAATATATGCGTCTATGCACTATGGGAGATCTTGCCTCCACGGGATAAAGATACTCAGTTACAAAAAAACTTAGATGTTCCACATATATAATATAATACTAAAATTAAAACGACCGGAAAAATTTAAAATCAAGAAAAACCCAATTTCTAAAATTAAACTGACATCTTTTCGATTTATAATTTAGGTTGTTAAGGATTGCACAATAAGAAAGAAATGATTAAATGGGCAGGTGAGGTTGAGGTACTCACACATGTTAGTTGTTGAGTACAATTAAGGCTATATATGCAAAGGGATTGCATTGGTGGTTGGGGTCTTTTTATATCATCTTACTACGTTTTGAGTATAAATCATTTTCTCTCCTCTTTAGTGTAGAATATAGTTTATATTAAAAAAGCTATATATATAGAATGATAAAGCAAAAACTGGACCTATATTGTGGAGTAAGCCACACATTTTATTTTAGAGTTATTGGCCAACTACCCCCTTAAACTCGTAGGGATTGGCTGATTTCCTCCATAAACTTTAATTTTAGTCAATTACCTTCTTAAACTCTTATAATTAGTCAATTCCCTCTACTGTTAAGTTTCTGACCGTTATTTTGCTTGTTTATTTTATTTTTTCTTTCTAAATTTAAATGCTTATTCTCTCTCTCCAGTCTCCACTCATCAGCGACCAGGCCATGGAGGAGACCTACATCATTTCCACACTTACAACAATGGAAAAACAAAGACCTATTGTCTTACGATTTTACTCTACTTGTTTGGTCAGTAAAGACTGTTCCTCCACTGCCCCTAAATCCAGGGCTGCACATTTTCGCCAGCTTAACCAGCGTTTTTCCCACCACCACCAGAGGCCCAAACTCCCAATCACCACCCTTTTTTTCCACACATGGCAGAAATATAGGGTCCGATATAACCGATGTGGTTGATTGTTGGAAGAGGAGCGTTCAAGTTTGGATATGATGGAGGTCTCCTACATGGCCTGGCCGTGTAGGAGAGTTTCATAGAGAGAATAACAATTTTAAGGAAAAAAAATATACATATATATATATATAAATTGAGGAAAATGACTTTCTACTCTTTGAAGCTGCAAACGAGGCAAACATTAATGAAATGTTGGATAAAAAATTCAAAAACCTTAGCAGCAGGGGACAAAACTGAATAATTATAAGAGTTCATGGAGAAATTGACTAAAATTAAAGTTCAAAGAAAAAATTGACCAAACTCTACAAATTCAGGGAGAAATCAACAAAGACTTATCTATTTCATAGATGCGATCCATAACCATAATCTATCACATAGCTATTCCATATATATGACATCCCTTTGTACATTTCTCACAATACACACATACATAATTAAGAAAAGCATCTTATTTATGCACTTACGCATTGATGAACAAATGCATGCATGATTACATATAACTACGTTTAACAAGACCAGTAAAAGCTCTTTCCAACCGTTGCATATGCTGCCCATATGGTTTTATACATTAATTAATTCATTTATGCCCCGAGAAAGTGAGCATCAAGATCCTGGACAAGGTTAACCATCAAACCGATGTATCTATCTGGAGCTTCAACATCTTCGTTCAGTTTCTCGTATTCGATCCACAGGTTTGCAATACCCTTGCCTTCATCTTTTTGAGTGAATTGGTAGACAGCCTTGAATCTCTTATAATACTTGAACATTTCTCCTTCCAATCCAATCAGAGTTGCGGCCTTGTTCTCGTCGTCTAGCTCCACCTGTTCCTTGAATATCCCGACATGGTCCCCTATATATTCATGCACGCATTCATGGTTAATTTCACCAAACCAAAATATATAATCCTTCTCACTCTCTCTGTATGGGGTGTGTGTGTAAATATATATATATATATATATTTATGTATATGTATATGTATGTATATGTATATAGATCAAAGCCCCTTCCAGTGATCAGGATCTTGTTCAATTGGCAAAAACAGGACAACATGACCGCATGTACGTAGGGAACATGTATTTACCGTATTGGAAACTCATAGCCCGGAGCAAACTTTGAAGGAAACAGTAACATAACTAAGAGGTTCTATGGTGTATGTATACAAACATGCAAACTCATGCTATGAACGTATGATGAGGTTGAGCATATCTGTTAAGGTCATACATATATAGTTAATAATTAAACATGAATAAAAATTGAAGTTGTACTTGCCTAGTTCATATTTCCAAATCTTAACAGAGCCGTGTGTTTCCCAGTCTCCTTCATGAACATCAACTCCTTTGATATGGGCAGTAGAAATGTTTGGGATGAGGTGGGCGCTCTTGAAGGTGTTATACAACTTGTTAGCTGGTGCCTTGATTTCTATTTCAGTCCCAATTTTACCATGCAGAACCATGTTTATGAGCAGTTTTGATGGATGCTACTCAGAAATTATAAGAGAAGAATGTTAAAGTGTGTGTATAATTTCGGCTCCTACCTCCTTAAATACAAGTGACTAGAGTTAAATTGCGTGGAAAGAAGGAAGAAGATGGGTGTTTGGATGTGGGTTGAAGATAAAGTTGGGTGTTTGGTTAACAAGATAACAAGTATTCGGGAAGAGTTTTAAATGACAGGTGTTTTAATATTACGGGGCCTTGTCATTGGGTTACTATTTTGGATAGGGAAGTGCTATTCACACACCCTCTTTTACTTTCAATACGCCATTGTTAATTTTTGTTCATTGATCTTCTTCAATTCTTTCAATCCAATGGCCTGAAATTAAGAGAGGTGTATGAGGGGTAAAAGTTAGTGTGTGGATAGCACCACCCTCTTGGGTACTGAATAGTCAGTACCCAAAGTATTGTCCATATTTTAATAGTGGGTCATCCAATTTAAGAAGCATTTAAATCATGAAACACATGATAGACAGTAAGTCACATATTTTTAAAACCATGCTCCTCGAATGCAAAATCAACACTTTAAAAGTGAGACTCTTTATGAATTCTCTATCACCTTATAGATTAACATCAATTCTCATGTTAACAATATAAAATATTATGCTAAAAATATGAGATGACAGATAGTCCATAAAAGAGTTCCACTTTTGAGAGTTTCCTTGGTATTTCTCTAATTGGAATCCTATGAAGACAATTTCACAATATGCATGGATAGATGAAAGGTTTGTTTATTTATCTCCGTTTTATCGTGTCTTTTCAGTTTAAACAATGACAATGTATATGTTATCAATTCACAATATGATAGTATATGTTACAATTCACAATAGGATAGTATATGTTATCAATTCACAAATAACATTGTGTGTACATATGTTTATTATCATTTTTTTATTTTTTCGGATAGATTGATTTGTAATGCATTTTTTTTATTATTATTTTTTTTTATCAGGATTTTCTTTCTTTCCATTTTTTTCCCACTCTCCAGTCTTTTTATAGTTGAATGATTACGGTTAAATCACGTCAATATCTTTTATTACCTTTTTTGTAGAAAAAGAAAAAAAAAAGAAAGGAGAGAACTGGAGTGAAGGGAAATGGAATGAGAGAATCATTTCTCTCTATTTTGTTTTGGCTAAAAAGTCATTACCAACTCCGACTTTCTAATAAAACAAAATAGAAATGATAAAAAAGGTACAGCGGATGACTGATGAGGTAAGGGTATCCACAAATGTTAGATTCACAAAATCCCGCTAAATTAATGTTTTTAGATTTAAGTTATTTAATATTATGATCTAGTAATATTTCTCTTTACTTATAAGTGAGAGATCTTCGGTTCGATTCTCATCAAAGGCGAATTTGAATCATATTATTGCTAGTCCATTGTGAGGTTAAACACACCCTTTGCTCTTAATGTAAATAATATTGTTTGTTAAAAAAAATATTTTTAGATCTTTGAAGAATTTCATTGCCAAGGGATCATCCCTCACTTGCATGGTTTATAGATATAATACTGGTTTCTACTGATGTGCTTTTATAAAAAGTGAGTATAAAAAAAGTTAAGCTAAAAAATATGTTCGGTAAACACTTAAAAACAACTTGTTTTCACAGTTTTGGGTGAAAAAAAAAAAACTAAAAATGTGAAGCAGCAAAAATGAGTTTATTCTCATAGTACAACAAAAATAGTTTTTTTTCAAAGCACATCAATATTAAACCAGCCCTAATCTATTCAGACCATTAAAAAAAATTGTCTATAAATAATATCAATTATTTAAAATTGCACCACGCTGCCAGTGTATGAAGACTTGTATATACAAGAAATCGTTAAGTGGAAGATTGGAGAAAGTGGATGGAGATTGTATATACGACAATTACCAATAATTCTCTTAAGAAATGCGTAAGGATGAATTTTTCCTCCTCGTCCTACCACGAGTTTATGGTTCCAGGTCCAGGATGTGAATTGTGGACAGTCCGTAATGTCTAATATAATGGTGGATGCTGTTGAACAATCTTTTGTTTTGACATGCTATAGAATAATCTGAATTCTCTAAATCACGGGATGGAGAATTTGAACATAAAAAGAGATATTTTTTAGTGTGTTCAAAACACAAGCACATACGTCATATGTCATTAAATAAGTAGAAAGACACTTGACAAAAAAGATATTGTGGACAAACAAATTCCAGTTATTCATTCTCACAATACATGTTACACGCACTTGGAAGAAAAAGTCAATTAATTTTCATATTTGAATCAGCATAAAATTAACTAAAAACAAGGGAAATTGGTCATTAAAGGACAATTACAATTTTCTTTTACTGAACATAACCAACATAAAAGGAGGGTTGCCATAATGGAAATGGTGGTGTTATTCACACACTTATTTTTACTTCTCACATACATTTCTCAATTTGTGGTATCAGATAGAATGAATTGAAAAAAATCAATTAACAAAAATTAACAAGTGTGTGTGGGAGGTAAAAAAGAATGTGTGAATAACACTACCTAGTGGAAATAAAGCATCTCTCCTAATCTGGGTTCGAGGCTCCTTCACCCACTTGCAAAATAATCGAATGAATTTGAGAAATTAACTGAGGATGTTGCAACTCTGGACAAATCATCAGCACTTGTTGAGAATGAATCTCACATTGATGAGATGAGTGATCTTGCGTGGGCTTATAAGTAAGTTGAGCTATTCCTTATATTGTCAATTAATTTCAGGGAGTTTTAACGAAACACTCCCAGTATTGTTTACTTTTAACGAAAAACCACATTTTTACATTTTCGTGGTACTATTCACTACACATTTATATGTCCTTTTTCATTAAAAGTAAATTTTTTTTTGGACTTTTCATTAGTTTTTCTTTAATTTTATAATATAACCTCAATGTTCTTCAATATCTAAAGATCGGAGAGCTAACCCAAGAGACTAATCAATAGATTGTGACCAAATTTAGCAATTTTATGGGCAATTATTTGTTTACGTGTCACAATTTTATTTTGTATGCCAATACAACCTCTCTCTTTTGTCTTTATTTATTTATTTTCATGATTTTGTTGATTTTTTTTAATTAAAACAATAATGTCACTTCCACTACAACAATGCTATCCTAAAAATTACATTATTGCGAATATAGCAGAAAGGGCGGCACTAGCATTTATATCAATAGGGAACACCCAATTCCCATATTAGTACAACTATAAACGTATATATTAGTTTTGTTGATTTCAATTATAACTCAAGTAATGGTACTCCATTTAGATCACTTATTAGTACAACTATAGACCTATAATTTAGCTTTGTAGCATGAATTTTTATACAAAGACTCATGTACTATCTTCGGCACAAGACCTGTGACATCTCACATCGCCCAGGAGAGTGATCCTTATATATATATTCTCATCTCTACCTAGCACGAGGCCTTTTGGGAGCTCACTGGCTTCGGGTTCCGTCGGAACTCCGAAGTTAAGCGAGAAGGGGGCTAGAGCAATCCCATGATCGGTGACCCACTGGGAAGTTGCTCGTGAGTTCCCAAAAACAAAACCGTGGGGGAATGGTAAGCCCAAAGCAGACAATATTGTGTTACGGTGGTGGAGCAGGCCTGAGAAGTGATCCGTCTCGGGCCAGGATGTGACAAGACCACTAACATTTCAAAAATCAAAACCGGCCCTTAGGTTACAAATACGGATAAATAACATAAATCATTGATTTCTTTAATCTTATCACTAATTAAAGTAATATAAATCTAAATTAGTTTTATCGTTATGTAATATTTATACACACACTTCGTGGTGCCAAATCCAAAGATCTTAACGGCTTAATATCATGTACAATCATTCACTCCAATAATGCTATGGAGGTATCAATCATTAATGTTTCTTTCAACATCTGATTGAATTCTGGTATGTCTCATCAAGTTTGCTGGTACTATTAAATATGTTAGTTGAAGATCCACAGACACATCATTATCATTTAACAGCTACTAAATTTAAATAAACCATTATTAGCATGTCATGTTCGACTTTCCATTTAACAGCTACTAGCTGGTAGGTTAGTTGAAAATCTAAAGACATATAAATAGACAAACAATGGAAGTGAGATCCGGATGGTAAACTTGATAATCCAATAAAATAAACTATTATCCAGCAAATCTTTGAAAATTATGGAGCAAACCACTATCAGGATATGCTAATTAAAGAACTAATTTGTAGACTTAATTTGTAAACTAAATTTTGAAAACTAAAGAATATGGAAGTTAATGATTGGTTTATTGCTTAAGTGTTGATAAACATGTTCATTTCTATTGGTGACACATAATTTAGTTTGCAAATTTAGTCTCCCTAGCATTACCCATATCACGGGAAAGTACTATAACCCTTTTGAGACCTCGCCGGATCCTTTTTGTGAGGATCCTAGGGATCCGTCCATTCTGTCCATTCATCTTACATCGTGCGGTCAGAAATTATTTTAAATATTTTTATTTAAAATTAAACGTAAACAGTACTTGACAAAAATTGACCGCACAATGTACGATAAACGGATACGATTTACGAATCTCTAGAATCCTCAACAAATAAATCCGAAGAAGATCCTGTTGGTTTTGATAAAGCTAAGCATGCATAGACCTTTTCCCTTTTCATGTGAAACATGTGATTCTCTTTGCATGCTTGTAATGAGCAGTGACTAGTTTACAAAAAAAAATGAAAAAGGAAAAAAGAGCAATGACTTGTGGTTAAATTAACAACAATCATCACAGCTCTAGTTTCATTCACCCTTGGATTCAGATAGGCCGCTGGACATGGGGTCGATATCACCAGCATGTCCTTGGCGGAACCTCACCTCGTATTTTCATATGAGACGAACATGTACCCGTATCTGTTTGCACGGAACAAAGATTTTTACTTTTTGACAAATACGGTGAGAGATCAAACCATGCAAGGGTGTATTAGAGGTTAGACTGTTCCCTGTATTGTCAATTGATTTTATGATGGAACATGAAATTTCGTCATGGTATATATTAAAGCAAGT